TTCTAAACTTATCCTACCGTTACTTCCTTACATCCTTTGTTCGACCTCGGCACTAATCCCTCTTAAGACGACTCCTCGCCATTAGACCGTAGTCGGCTTAATCCCCGACCACGTCCATTTGCGGTTATTAAGTCCAGTCCAAATTTTGACCAATACAGTTAGTCCCTCCGCTTGTTGAGGTCGTGATCTTGGACTTCCTCGATGAGTGGATCCTGCCTGCAACCGTTCAGAGGAAATTTGGTCGTGACGATTAAATCGAATCGGCCGAGGTCGAAATGGCGGCGAGGCTGCAGTTGGTGTCGCTATCGTAGGATGACGTCATGCCACGCGCATCATCATTATACGTCTTCCCAATGCAGTGCCTGTGCTTCTGTTGTTTCGATTTTGGTGCCATTGACGGCTCTTTGCCTTGGTTCTGGTGTTACCCAGCCCTATAAATAGAGGAGAGGGGTTTCATTTTTGAAGCTTTCAACATTTCTCTGTTTGCATGCATATTGTTCTTCTTTAACCTTCTCCTCCGATCTCCATTTCCGATTTCTCACAGCTTCTTCAATTCCGGTTCCTGACTTCTTTCCCGGATGATATTTTCTCTCTCTGATTTTGTTGTGCACGCTTTACTACAGAAATATGTCAGATTCCCCTCATATTCACAATGGAGTCTCCGATGCACCTCCTTTATCGGTGGCCATTCCTCCTGGCGATGAGGAACTCATGGTTGAGGAGGAAGAAAGCTTCCCTACCGTGGAGGAGGTGGTGAATCCTTTGGTTAGAAACGACTTCCCAAAGGAACCTGCTCCCGCTCCTACTCAGGAGCTTTCTGAGACGGGGCTGCGTCAAAATAGCCGACCTCCGATCCAAATATCGTATTCCTTCTCACGTTGAGATTATTCCTGCGGGAGACGACATAGTACAAGTTCACCGACCTGGATATTGTGCTTTCTATGTTTACCCGTTCCTAGTAGGTTATTCTCTTCCTCTCCCTCCACTAGCGGAGGAGTTTTGCCGCTTTTACAACATATGCCCGGCGCAACTCTCCCCTTATTTATACAAAGTTTTTTTTTGATGCTGGCGAAGTACGCAGAGTTGGCCGGCTGTGAGGTCAATATTTTCCATCTGATGCATCTCTTCTCGCCTAGCTTTTATAGAGGCACGTAGATACATCTACGACATCATGGAATCAAAGGGTTGGTTGCCGGGATGGATGATAAGGCGAACTGGTGGTTCTGGCATAAATACTTCTTCATCAAAATCGAGCACCCGGTGGCGAATCCGATCGGGTTTCCCGAGCAATGCAACTATAATCGTAAGTATCTTGTCGTGCGTTCGTTATTTTCTTTCTTCCTCTTCTTCTTTAATTTTTGAACTCATGGCTTCCTTATTTTAGGCGTGCACCTTCTCCCGTCTTCGATATTGAAGATTGGGTGACTCGCATGTTACCCCACATAGTGGGAATTCGCGACTGGGCGTCCTTTCACAAGCGCTTTAGACCCAAGACTTCGTCCAGTAAGTGTTATTTCTACTTTCCAACTTATTGCCGTTCACTATCGCCTTTTGAAGCGACCTTCCTTTGGTGCTAGGTCGGCGGATTTCCAAAAAGGCGAAGGCTCCAGTGCCTGCATTTCGCCAGGCTATCGCGTCGGCTGGAATACAATTTGCTTTAGCTGAGTCTGCTCAAGGAGGTCGGACTCAAGTTACACCAATGAGGGATTCCGCCCCTCAAACTGTTGTTATGCCGGATGAGATCTATTCTCAGCCTATCTTTCACCTTGTGGACGAGTCATCTCACGGCGAGGATGCGTCGTCGAGGAAAAGATGAAGGGTGGAGACCGGGAAGGCCATTGTCACTGATGTTGAGCCGAAAAGATTCATTGCTTCGGTGTTTACACCAGACGTCGAGGTCGTTTTCGCGATGGGTGCCGCCATGAAGAGTAGGCCCTCTGAGGTTGAGGAGGTTCGTGGTAGCGGAGAGATTATGCGAGCTGGTGAAGGTGGCTCATTATCGGCAGGTGGGAGAGGTAGAGCTGTCCCTGCGGGGGACGATGACTCTGGTTCGAACATCGACCCTAAGGAGATACGGACCTTCGTAGAGAGGACTACTTATGTGGAGATAAGGACGGAGGGTCCTAATTGGCATATAGTCATTCCCGTGGAATACGACCTCTTGGCCAACTCAGAACGGGCGGTGTCGGCCTTCGCTCCCCTATGCGTGGCTTCCCATAATACGATGCTACAGATGCGAAAAGATGCGGATCTATCGTTCGATATATCCAGCATGGCCCTGCGAGTGAGTTTGCTTTTCCATGTTAGGTTAAGTTTGTTTTGTATGTGTAATTTGCTTACAATGACCTTTTCTCCTTTTTTGCATGTCAGACCCTTATTATGGGGATTGAGCGCGGTCGGCGGGAGGAGCGGAGGACGGCCATTTTTAAGAAGATGACCTCCAAGTACAGAGAGTACCGGACCAAGCACCGAACGCTAGCTGACTTTCTCAGCCAGGAACCTATTTCAGTCGCTCCGTGATGGGCTCAAAGAGAAGGACGATGAGCTGACGAAGAAGGACGAAGAGCTGAGGAAGAGGGAAGAGGAACTTATGAGGGCCATCAGTAGGTGTAGCGTGCTTGAGGGAGCGCTAAAGGCTAAGGAGGACGAGCTCGAGGTGAGCAGGGGAGTGATGGCCGAGAATGCTGACCTTCAGGCGCAGGTGGCGTCTTTAATGGTTGAACTCGAGCAGAGGAAGGCAAGTTCCGTCGATCTGAGGTATGAATTGAGTGCCAAGATCGAAGAGTTGGGTCAGGCTGAGAAAGTCAGAATGGCTGCTGCGGCTGAGGCGGCGGCCCTAGATCACGCCCTTCGTGTTTGCAGGTCCGAGCGGGCTAATAAGATGGAGACGTCGGCGCTCAAAGTGGCGAGGTTGGTGGAGCGGATTATGGGTTTGGAGGCGGAGCTGTCTGAGTTAAATAAGCAAGTCGTTGCCCTGAGGGCCGAGAAGACACGACAGCAGGCACAACCATCTACATCTCATACTTCCGCTGATCCCGGTGTGCCGCGGGAGTTGTATGATATGTGGGTCCATGCCGAGGCTCAACTTGATGCGTACAAGTCTTTGAAGGTTGCCGGGAAGGTTTCTGAGGCGGAGCTTGAGGGCGTTCGTGTCAAGGCACGTGCCGCTCGTGAAGCTTGTGGTTATGACCCTGGTACACCCGGCGGGGATGATAATGACGATGCCGCGGATGGGCTTGCCTCTGATCCTTGGTATAATGATGAGTATGTTGATAGGGATGATGTGGCGTGAAGCTTTTGTACTTAGTTTTTTTTTGCTTTGCTATTTTTGTGAGGCCGTTCTCGAGCCCTTTGTAAAAAGTACTGTAATCCGACAATTGAAATGGAACAATTGCCTTTTTGCTATGTATTTCCGGATTCCCATTCTTTTTTTTCTGTTTGCTATGCGGGAAAGTCCCTGATTTTTCGGCCGTTTGCATGTAATGTTGATTTTGGCGTAGTCGAACATAAACCGACTTGAGGCCGAGTATTAATTAGCTCGAACGAGGTCGAGGTTTGATGAGGTCGAAAATCAAATAATTCGAGCAAGGTCGAATGTGAAGTATTTCGAGCGAGGTTGAATGTGAAGTAATTCGAGCAAGGTCGAATGTAGAGTAATTCGAGCGAGGTTGAATGTCGAGTAATTCGAGCGAGGTCGAATGTAAAGTAATTCGAGCTAGGTCGAATGTAAAGTAATTCGAGCGAGGTCGAATGTCGAGTAATTCGAGCGAGGTCGAATGTCGAGTAATTCGAGCGAGGTCGAATGTAAAGTAGTTCGAGCAAGGTCGAATGTCGAGTAATTCGAGCGAGGGCGAATGTAAAGTAGTTCGAGCAAGGTCGAATGTCGAGTAATTCGAGCGAGTCAAATGTAGAATGTAAAATGATTTGGTGGAGTTGTGTAAAGATGCTGCTGCTTTGTTTATTTCATTCATTGGAGAAAATTACATGTTTCTATTTGTTCCATACATACATTTGAGAAGTTCCAGTCTACCTAGTCCCTTCATCGCTCGGCCTGAAGAAGTAGTCGATAGGCGGGGCGATGAATTATACTTGAACTTCGAGACGTTCCCTTCGTCGCCTCATTAAAAACCTCCCCGATAAAACCCAATTGGGATAAAACCCGGGTGAGGGAAAAAGAGTACGACTTGGAGGGCGTCCATTCTCAGAAGTTGAAGTATTTGAGGTGGGCGACGTTCCAATTGTTTGGTAGTAGTTTTCCCTCCATTGTTTCTAGTTGGAATGATCCTTTATTTGCTGCTGCCGTAATTTTGTATGGCCCGTCCCAGTTGGTTCCTAGTTTACCTTCTCTTGGGTCTTTGCTCGCCTGTGTTTTGGCCTTGAGTACATAGTCCCCGACTTTGAGTGGTCGTACTTTGGTCCTTTTGTTGTATTACCGTTCTGCTTGCTGTTTTTGGGCTATCATTCTTATGTAAGCCATGTCTCTTCGCTCCTCTGCTTTGTCGAGGTCTTGTTTCCTGTTTTCGTCGTTGCTTGGTCCGCTCTCATTGGAGTATTTCAAACTTGGTTCCCCGACCTCGACCGGTATCAGTACGTCAGTCCCATAGACTAGTGAATATGGCGTTTCTCCTGTGCTTGTTTTTGGCGTGGTGCGGTATGCCCATAGCACTTCTGGTAGCAATTCCTGCCACAGTCCCTTGGCGTCTTCAAGCTTTTTCTTCAAGATGTTTAGTATTGTTTTGTTGGAGGACTCGGCTTGGCCGTTGCCTGCAGGGTGCTATGTGCGAGGTACGGGAAAAGACCAGACCAGAAAGGTTTATTGTAATTTGTAAGCAACCTTAGCCTGATCTTGCTGTTTCAACGGCTTGAACCCGTTACACATCGGCGACTGTCACAAATCATTGATTTGTGTACCACGCAGTGAGTGAACCTGGATACTATCCGTTAGTAATACTAAATTGTAGAAACACGATAGTATATATAGCTCATGTCGGTGCCTTTCTTTAGTCCTTTTTTTCCACTTCTGTCTCGTTTATTGTTGCTTCGCTTATCTGCCATTTGCTGAGTATTAGTAATAAAACTTATGCTCATAAATTGTGTGAACTCTCTTCTCTCTTCCTTTTTTTCTTCTTCAATACAATAACAGACGCTTACTTGTAGACAAACCTCTGCTTTTCCATTCTCCATTCTCCAGGTATAATTCCCAATTTCAACTTCTTATTATTTCCCCCCTCATTTTGTTAGTTTCTGCTTGTTTGCTTTCCAGTTCCTATTTTTCTGCTGTTATTAAATTATATACTAGTAGTAACAATTTCTTGACTTTAAATTGGGTTTTTCCTGCATTTAACAAGATCCTTTATTTGGGTTTATCTTTTGGAATTTCTACTGCATTTTGTTTTGGTTAGTTTCTGCTTATTTCCTTTACATTCTCAGCAGTAATTAGCTTTTTTTTCTGCTTATAAAGTTCTGAATTTTGAACTGGGTTTTCATTTACATTGAACAAGATCTGTATACTTGGAGCTTTCTCTTTGTAATTTTCACTGCATTTTAGCTTAATTTAGTTGTGTTTTTCTCAAGCTTTACTTCTTTAATTTCCTGGTATAGCATTCTTGGAGCTTTTTCCCCACTCTTGACAACCAAAAAAAAGTTTTTTTTTCCTAACCCTTTTGATTAATCTTGCATAATTCACAATTAGCTCACATAAAACTTATATTAGGTATTGTAACAGAACAGGTCCTAACGAAACAAATGGATATTGAGTATTCTCATAGCGAGCCCAAACTAGTTTAGGATTGAGATGCAGTTGTTGTGATTTGTTTATAATTAAAAAAATCCCTTTTTTTAGTTTTGATTAATCTATCATAATATTCTCACTTAAAGCTTGTGTACGTTTTTTTTTTGCCAGTTTTCTTCAACCTAGGGACAATGAATAAATGGGCTGGATCAATTTTCCTATGCATTTTGGGCATGTTGCTTCTGATGAACTGGTCAGTCATGGCGGAGGTGGAGACGTGCTCGGGGATAGTGCCAATGCAGTATAGGTATGATAAGATATCAATATTGGACTATGGAGGTGTAGGTGACGGACGGACGTTGAATACGAAAGCGTTTATGGAAGCAATTTTTCGAATTCAGCACTTGAAGAGGAGGGGTGGAACGTTGCTTTACGTACCTGCTGGTGTATATTTGACTGGTCCATTTAATCTTACTAGTCAAATGACTCTTTATTTGGCCCGTGGTGCTGTTATCAAAGCCACTCAGGTATACTCTAACATTTCCTTTGTTTCTGCTTTTTTCAGCAGACTTATTCTTTATTCTTCATATGTGTACTATATAATCTCAAAATAACTGCATTTAGAGAGAACAATTTGACCCATTTTTATTCTTTTTCCTTTTGATTATCATTTGATCCATTTCAACAATGAGTGCAAAACTTTAGTTGAAATGTGATGAACTTATTCATGAGTGCTAATTATGAGCTGAGTTTGCTGTGGCATAGACAGCTGAATGGTGAGTGGCATATTTTCTTGACCTAGATTTTGGTTCACGTGTTTATGCATCGTTGTTAATTTTGAATGTGGGGCATACAACATTATGTACCATATGTTAAACAAGATATGGATAGGAGGAGGGCCAGCTTAAGTTTCTGGTGTTCATTTAGCGGTACTATATTTGGAGTAGGCTACATTAAGTTTGTGTAGGATGAGCAGTAATATAGGTATGGCCTATAAGGATTATGTGCATTAAGTAATTGGTGGGCCTTGGGATAATGACGGGACCTCATACATGTGATGGTTTTTAAAATACTAAGGATTGTGGTGGACAACCATGGGGTTTATTGAACTATTCAATAATTTATTAAACTATTCAATTGTCATCAGCCACAAACAGATAAAAGAGGAATACAATGAAAGCCAACTTGATCTATGTCTCATTGTATTATTACAATTCAGGATGCCAGTCAATGGCCATTAGTTGATCCATTGCCTTCATATGGGAGAGGAAGAGAGCGACCTGGTGGAAGGTATATGAGCTTACTCCACGGAGACGGGCTCCATGATGTGATTATCACCGGTAAATATCAATTATCATATTCTTTTACATTTTTCTCAATACCTTTTTGGCTACATTTTGTGGCAAGTAAGGACCTCCTAACTAAATTATAATGAATTTCAAGGCCTGATATATTGTTGTTTGACTGAAGTATTTAAACTAATTTCTCAGGTGAGAATGGTACTATTGATGGCCAGGGTGATGTTTGGTGGAATATGTGGAGGCAAAGAACTCTTCAATTCACAAGACCTCATCTCATTGAACTAATGAACTCCAGAGGCATAATCATTTCTAATGTCATTTTCAAGAACTCTCCCTTTTGGAATATCCACCCTGTTTATTGCAGGTAGTTTTTGCATAATTTTGTATTTTACCCTGTGCATTTTGAAAAGCGTGTCAAAATCTGAATAAAAGCTCATAACCTCTCGAGTAATCTTCTTCTTTTATTTATTATGTATATTTCATTGCATTCACTTCCTAGTTTGCTGGGTCAGTTAAAATTTTTCTATAGAGCTGGATTTATTCCATGACGGATGTGTGATGACAGGTGACAATAATCATGCATGTGACACTAACATGCTGTCTTTGTTATAAGAGAACATCTAGCTAGTCCATTGCAGTCTGATCTGATTTGCTTGTTTGTTCTTTTGCCAGCAATGTTGTTATTCGGCATGTCACCATACTGGCTCCAGCTGATTCTCCAAACACCGATGGAATTGATCCAGGTTTCTCCTCTTGTCTTCTGAGTCTCCTTTCGTTGGTGCAATTCGTTATAGAATAATAGCTCTTGGTTAAATGACCTAGGCAAACTTTTCCGCAGAAATCCATTAGCTCTTTAGAGTTGAGATATCTAGTTTTCTTTCTTTTTGGGAAGTGACATTATGCAGAAGACACATCATGTAGAGGTTATCATTATTCTGTGCAAGAACGAGTAATCTTCAACCTTCTATTTGATGCATCGTTGGAGTGCATGTATTAAGCTTCCATTTAGCATCGCTTTTGCTTAGCAATAAAGAGGACTGCTAAAAGAAATTTTTCTGGGCCTATATTTATCCATTATCTTCCGTAAAGAAGCTAGTTGCTTCTTGTAAGAAACTTCGTTCCAATAACCCGATTTCTGTTCTTGGAGGGTGAATTAATTGGGTTTTTGAGTGCGGAGGGTTCTCTAGACATTATCAGAAAATTGAAGACCTACAGTGGTTAGTGGTTGCTTTTTCTTTCTTTACCGTTAATTCATTAGTGTGTTTATTTACTATTGCAGATTCAAGCTCCCATGTTTGCATAGAAGATTCCTACATTTCTGTAGGGGATGATCTAGTAGCTGTGAAGAGTGGATGGGATCAATATGGCATTGCTTATGGTCGCCCTAGTCATGGCATAACCATCCGAAGGATAACTGGATCATCTCCATTTGCTGGAATTGCTGTTGGAAGTGAAACTTCCGGTGGCGTAGTGGATGTTTTAGCTGAGCATATAAACCTTTTCAACATGGGAGTTGGCATTCACATTAAGACAAACATTGGTCGAGGAGGGGTGATCAGAAACATTACGGTCGCAAACGTCTACATGGAAAATACACGAACAGGGATTAAGATTGCAGGTGATGTTGGGGACCATCCAGATGAAAAATTCAATCCGAATGCTCTTCCAGTGGTTAAGGGTATCAAGATTAAGGATGTTTGGGGTGAAAAGGTTTTGCAGGCTGGTTTGATCCGTGGTTTGAAGAATTCCCCTTTCTCTGGGATTTGTCTCTCCAATATCAACCTTCATGGCAACAAACCCGGACCACGAAATTCCCCTTGGAAATGCTCAGATGTTAGCGGAGCTGCAATTCAAGTCAGCCCTTGGCCTTGCTCAGAACTCACCAGCAGCCAACAAACTGGTGCATGCTCTACCTTCTTCTGAATATCTTGTAATTCTTTGCTTCCAATTCAAGTCAGTAAATCACAAAGAAGAAATGATGAATTTTATTCTTGTTCTAAGTAAAATTGTAATTTCAACTTGGTATTGCAATCATATTGTATACATGTTAGAATCCTTGCTACTACATCTCACATGGATGCAAAGTTTGTTTACGACAACTAAAAAACACACATCAACAAGCTAAAGGCTTATCGTATGCACAAAGTGCTTCCCTGCTTAGTCCAGGGTATAGGGAGAGGATGGGCGTATATGGTATGCAACCTTCTTCTTGTATTTTACAAAGAAGAGGTCTCCAGGCCTCAACCAAAAGGAGCAATTCTACCATTGCACCAATGCTCGCTCTCAACGAGCAATCCTACAAATACATATGTTAATACAAAATACTAAAGCAAAACATGGAGCATGTTGGCAAAGGTGCTTCATTCAAAGTAGTGATCCAAGAACTTGCGAATGTGCCTCACGAAACCACCTGTCTTCTTTTCCTCCTTATGTGCCTCATTCTGCTCTTCAGCTCCTTGCTCCTCTTCCTCATGGTGATGGCGCAAATGCTTCTTCAGCTTCTTCTTAGCAATGCTATTATGATCGTCATACTGCATTGCCGTAATATTGTCATCCTCATCTTCATCCTCCTCATCCTCATCATCAAAGGGGTCATAGAACTGATTCTTCAGTTTCAGTTTAGCAAACTTATTGTGATTATCCCGCTTGATTATGAACTTTGACATCTTTTGTTCATCATCATCATCTTCGTTGTTGTCGTGGAGGAAACTCATCCATTCCTCCGGAACCTGATGCATACCTCCATCGAACATTGCATGGTCATCAAAATCACTCTTCTCACCAGAAGAAAGTATCATATCTTTACCATAAGGGATCTGATCATGATCATCAAGGTGTGTTTTTGGCTTCAGGTTATGTGCATGGTGGAAATGGTGGTGGCATAGTCTGTTAGGAAGCCTAGATGATCTGGCCCGAAAGTGGCGGTTGATCGGACGAAGCCGGACAAACGTCAAAGGTAATGCCTTGATCTTTTTGGCCTTAGGTTCAGGAAGATCTTGAATCTCTTGAACATGGTGAGTCTCTTTGTCAAGCTGGTTTGTGGGGGTGGCGTCGCGTTCGGGGAGAGTATGGGGAAGTTTGATATCATTTTCTTGTTGAGTTAAGGGTGTGCGAGCAAATGAGAGGGTGAAGAAGATGAAGAAAATGGCAATGGAGAGTTTGTCCATTATGTGAATTGGTTTAAAATAACTAAGTTTATTTCTGTCTAAAGGAGAAAAGGAAAGACATGGTTATATATAGGATAAAGCAACGGTAAACTCGGTTAACCATCAATGTGAATGATTATTATTTCCTCATTTGGAAAGGTGGGCAGTAAATATGGGGAAAGAAGAGGGGAAAATGTAGTGACATTTGAATCCCACATTATTTGTGCGTAGAGGGAAATAGTAACCATTTGGCTGTAATTTCAATATCATTGTCCACGTTGTTGGAGTTGAACTACCAAAGCTTTGGATGGATCTCTAACTCACCTTATGAAATTTCAATGGAGACAAATAAAATTATCTGTCTAAGTCTCGATGTATAAAGTTATATGGTACTTGTGGGATTGTTACACAAATAGCCGGCCTAATTCAATATTTACTTTTTCTAGCCGATTACCTTCCAAACAACTATGACATAAATAGACAGATCCGAGTGTACTTCAGGAAACTAGCAAGCTTTGCCATTCGGATTTATACATTGATTATATTCAGTTATACATATTATACATGAATTACATATATATTATATATTTTTCGGCTATTTTTAGTTTAAGAGATTAAGTGGACGACTATTTGGGTTAGTTCAGTACGAGAGAAAAAAGTGATAAAGGGGTTTGTTTCCATGGAAAAAAAAAGGTACTGTATTTCACTATTTCTTACATCACCTTTTTTTTACTTCTCTTGTTGCTGGACTGTTCAATTCGTTAATCTTGCTATTTGTCATTGGACAAGGTAGGTTGAATTAAAAACAGAAGTAAACCATAATATAAAAATGTAGCATTATTAATTTATAAATGTATGGAAGATTCAAGTAAAAACCCCTGGACCGATATTATCGAGATAGATCCACAAATTATTAATGACGCAGTTTAGTTACAATATAAGAACAAAAGAGAGATCAATGTTTTCTTGATATTGAAGTATATTTTTATACAGTATGTTTTATGAAGCAGGTGACGTGTGATATTGAAGTATATTTTTATACAGTATGTTTTGATCGTTACTACTCCATGTGTTTAAGTTTATATGAATCTATGTTCTTTTTTGTCCGTTCTAAAAAGAATGATCCATTTCTAAATTTGGTAACAATTTAGTTTAAACTTACAATTCTGCCCTTAATGAGAAGTTTTTATAATCACACAAATACTCTGGGTCCCTTTTTGACTTGTTTAAGACCACAAATTCCAGAAGTCTTCATTTTCTCTTAAACTCCGTCCCCAGTCAAACAGGTTCACATAAATTGGAATGAAGGGGTATCTTTTAAATTTTCTTTTTGTTGCATTGGGGAAGGCTCGAGGTAAGTAAAAAAGGAAAAGAAAGTAAATACTTATAGGTATCCGATGCTTACATAAAATTAAACAAGTTAATCTTTAACAGTTAAAAAAGTTTAAATACATATCATATAGTTATGATAGATAAATATATGTATGACAGACAAATATCTTGCATTCGTTAATTTGACGTAAACATAATGCAAGTAAATTTTTATCACACAATAATTAGAAGGTTATAATCAGTGGACACAGGACAATATGATTCCATGACATCAACTTCATTTGATCTAGCGAATATGCTATCATGAATTTAGTACGTAAGCAAGTATATAAATCAAGGTATATGTATCCAAACCAATAATTATTTGTGTTAAAAACAAGGATTCAAACTCACTATCTCCTTAAATCCCATAAATATATTAATCTTAAACATCATATAAAACTATTTTTACCACCTGGAATTCGATGTATTCTAAGATGCTATAACCAATAAGACAACACCCCAAACACAATAAATTCTCTCCAAGAAACCTCTTTCAGAAAATTTCCTTAAATTTAGAACCATTTTTTTTAGTTAAAAAAAAAAAAAAAAGATGTTATCACGAGCTTTTGTCACTAAACACCAAGTTAGAAGGAATTTCAACGATCATGAAGAAAACAGCTGCAGATCAATGTCTATACATGAGTACGAGGAATTCATCATCGGATTCAAACAAGATGTTCCCCTCGTATTTTTCGATGAAAATAACGATCCTAATCATAACCATGGTAATGTTGAATTGTGCAACCGTCTCATCTAAAAGCTTAATTAAACTCTTAGAAAGAAAATAATTTTACTTAATTATATTATGTCTCAACAGGTAAAGCAGTCGCTCGTTCTTGTGAGCCAAGATTGACACTAAAAGAAGTTTTAAGGGCTTCAGCTGGAGTCATGGGAGAGAGTCATTTTGGTATGACTGAGAAAGTTGTGCTTTTAAAAGGGAAAATATGTGCTCTAAAAAGGTTTAGGAAAGTTGTTGTGAAAAATAGTGAATTTGGGAAAAGAATTGAGAAATTTGCTAGGGTTAGTAGAGAGTGCAAGCAACTTGTTCCAATCACAGCTTATTTATACTCAAAGAGGATCAAGTTTGTTGTTTCTGACTATTATCCCATGGGTAGTCTAGCTGATTTACTTTCAGGTGAGCTTTCTTTTTCATATATATATATATATATATATATATAACTGAAAATAATCTAATTGCGGATTAATTATACATTATCAATGTATATAATATTTTACTTGTCGAGAGGCATAAGCTAATTTTTAATTAAATAGGAAGAAGGTTTTTAAAATGGCATATTATGCTTAAGTTACTGATATCTAAATTAATAATTTGTATATATTAAATAGATTTTTTAAAAATAAATATAGAGTTTGGACTAAAACGACTAGGTTTGACCGAACTCATGCCGTCAATGCTAGCTCCGCTACTGATCCAGACCCTCCTAGAAATGGTTATTGGTAGTATAAAATGAATAAAATAAGAGCTTCCTTGATATTAAAATTAAGTTAAATGTGCCATGTTTGATACAACGCCAAATAAAAAGTTAAGAGCTTTATTGAATACAAAACTAGCCAGAAGGTGAAACAAACAATCTGCTACAACATGTTAAATTATATTAATCGCATAAAAAGAGTTACACTATCAATGCATATAAGTGAAATCTTTTTACTCAAATTTCTTATCCTTATAGAATTCTTGGTTGCAGGGGCAAGGGATCTAGGTCAAACTGCACTAGAATGGAAACAACGTTTAAAAATAATTCTATGTATTGCTAATGGCCTTGCATTTATCCACTCTCAAAATCAACCAAAAAATCAAATTAAGGATCACAAGGACATATACTTAAATGTTCATGGCAATGTCAAGGCATCCAATGTAATGATCAACATTGATTTCACTGCTTGCCTTTCCGACTATGGCTTCGCGCAATTAGCAGAGTGGACAGAGTTTTCCGATACCTGGCAAAAGAAGCCACCCCTTCTTGAATATCTATTTTCTCATGAATTGCTAAGCCAGAAAAATGATGTGTATAATTTTGGTATTATTTTGTTGGACATATTAGGAAGGCAAGGGATGAAGAAAGAAGAGATGGAAAATATGGAGTTTGAATTTATAGTACAAGGGAAAGAAAGAAAACAAGCTTTCAATGTATTGAATATAGCTTTGAGCTGCACAAATAGTGATCAAGAGGCTAGGCCTACAATGGAAGAAATAGTGATATACTTAGGAGATGTTTTGAGGGTGAGAAATTAGTTGTTTTTTTTTTTTTTTTTTTTTTGTGCGCGTGAAATTAGAGACGATCCAAGATTTGAAGTTTATGTTTCTATTGATCTCAAGTTAATATACAATAATAATTGGGTTCATATTCAATTATGTATAAATATTTAGTGAATATGTGTATACTGAGTATAAGCAAAAACTACTATATTCACATGTACTCATATATTATACGGACAAGGGTTAAAAATGCCCCTAAACTATTGGAAAAGGTTTTAAAATACCCTTCATCCACCTTTTTGGTTCACTTATGCCCTTTGACCGTTAGGTTAATGCTGAATTAAAAATAATAATTATTTAATTCCACATGTCAACTTCTTATTGGTCGAAATTAAAACATCTAACCTATTAGAAAGATCCACCATATCTGCCCGTTTTTCGAACTAACTCGTCCGAACATTAAGCCGGCCTGAATAAAAGATTCAACCAAAAAAAGACGCCTCACTTCCATCTTACTATTTTCACCATGCTTATCTTAGGTTTGTCCACCTTTATGCCACTAAAAGTTGAAAGAAATAATATAATAGGAGTGACAATTTCTATCACTTATGCTAGTGCGAACTTCCAATAACTATTAGCAGTAGCATTACATCTGTGTGAAATATCTTTACCTCAACATGCATGTCGGTGAGTAAGTATTTTCCTAGGTTTGGTAGTTTCTTAATATTTATTAGCATTAACATTACATCAGGGCTAACAAATCCTAACTAATAAGCCCTATCACCCACATAAGCTGAACATTTATTTTCTCCAATTCAGTGCTAATTCTGTTTGTTGCATTGAAATTTATATATTCAACAACTTTCTCTGCCTCTTGTGGTTTCCCAGATTAGTCGAGAAAGTCCACTAGTGAAGCATAATTTTGATCTCCTGGTTTCCTAATGTGCTCTTTGCAGCAGTTAACCTGGAGTTAGATGGAAGTAGGACGTCTTTTATTAGTTGAACTTTTTATTCCGGTCCAGTTAATGTTTGGGGCGGGTTAGTCCGAAAAACGGGTAGATATGAGTGTGTCTTTCTAATAGGTTAGATATTTTAATATCGACCAATAAGAAGCTGTCACTTGGAATTTAAATAATTATTATTTTTAATTCATCATTGACCTAACGGTTAAAGGGTATAAGTGAACCAAAAAGGTGGATGAAAGGATATTATTAGCCCAATAGGTAGACGAAGGGTATTTTTATACCTTTTCTAATAGTTTAGGGACATCTTTAACCCTTTTCCGTATATTATATTATGACCCGCCCCACTGTAAAACATATGTTTGGTCCGCATATTATATGGATAAAAAAAATATAAATGATGAAAAAGAAAGTACGTCTTGAAACATGTTTGAAACTTTTGGGTTACTGAAATGATGTTTTTACTATCGGTCTTTGACCATATTTGTTGATATGTTTGATCTTTTTCACACTATATTATTAGATTCTTGACATAAACATAATGGTCCTTGACTAAAAAAAATTGGGATTTTTATCTAGTTATACTATATTAGAAACTTATTTACCTATGTTCTCTATGTTTTGAAGTTTTTAATAAGTATCTAGGTTTTTCTTACAAATTATATATATTGCTTCCTAAAAGAATACACTCCATTATTAGTGCCTTCAATTAAGGGATTAAATTATATTCTTTCCTTTTTTTTCCCTCTCCTCTTCTCTCTCCTTTTTTTTTTCCAATTAAAATCCCTTAATCTACGCCCAAA